TGTGGTCCCTACTGTGCCTAAATAATAGAAAATAGTGGAAACTGTTACTTAGTGGGAAAGAAAACATGGAAACCGTCCCTTAGTGGGAGAAAGAAACCTAACAGGTTTTGAAAACAGTTTTGACCTAAAAAACGCAGCTATATATATGGATATAAGGGCTGGACGTTTTTTGACATGATTCTGACTGCGGTTTCTACTAGAATTTTGCCCACCCAAAATTCTCTATTTTCGGTTATTGTTTGGGTAACACAGTAGAAGACTGTGGAAATCTGCTAGTGTGTTTTCAACTGAGGAACTGGAGAACGACATAGATTTGTTGTGTTTACGCTTCAAGAGGTAATCTTAAAATCTCCATACGTGCTAGTTGTTTAGATTACACGTGAATAAGATTCTGTTATTGTTTCCGCTGTGGTATATATTCCTACAGCAAAGTGGGCACCAAGTCATACTTCACATTGAATGCTTGTAGGAATATGGCATTAGTCAATTCTTTAATCTCTAATGCTGCAAGTTGGTGAATTAATCAAGCACTTAATCAACTTGTTATGAAAAGTATACATTTGTTGCATGTGGGACATGATACATGGAAGTTGACTTGGGGCACCTTATTTAGATTATAAGCTGAAATGTCATTCTCAAACAGTTGGAGAAATTAGTGATATGGACTGTCCCTCGTTGATTAGGAAGAACTCTCATTTTCACTTTATAAAAAAATGCTCCTTCTAGTGAGCTACTAAAGAGCAAGAAAAAGGGGATTGAACTAGCATACACAAGAATTGGTCTGCTTATAATTTCAGTGATAGAGTCAAGTTCATTACGTTCAACAAATCAAACTGATAGTGATTCAAAGCACCAGCGTCAAAAATGGAAGAGAGAGATGAAATTTGGATCCTGAAAGTTTAGATTGAGAAATCCGGGAAAAAAAGTGCTGCTTTGGCAGGAAGTTTGTTTTTGGAGGTGCCCAGGGACGGACCTACATATGCGGTAGAGGGGTTGCCGAAACCCGCTAGTCTCGATAAAAACAGTGTATATATATCAGTGTATACATAGACATGGGCGGATCCACATAGAGGATTGTGGTGCTCAAGCCCCCATTGCCCATGGTATCAAACATATAATTATATAGACAATTTCGTATGAAATGGATATATATTTAGGTGAGCACCCATTACTCAAACAAAATCTAAGTATGCACTCTGTGTGATCCAGAGTTTGATTCTTACATGGTGCACTCTTTGACTTTTTTTTCGTATCCCTTTTACATGGCTTTCCCTTTTGTTCTTAACTTTGCCGTTGTTTATTTCTTCAATTCAATTAGTTCATTGTGGCACAAAAAGAAAATATTTATCACCACCAAATTGGATAGCCTATGTTGTGGTTTGGAATCATCACAATAATGATAATATTCAAGAGAATATAGATATTCATATTTTTCGACATCCAACCTATGTTTTATCCATATTAAATATGAGTGGTTCGGAAATTTTATGCGTGTTATCTACCACATATTCAACCCGTCCATATCAATGGACTCTTCTCATCATTTGCTAGCACTAAAGCACCCATTACTTTAAAATGTTGGATCTGCCATTGTACATAGAGGACCCCTTTAATATCATACTGTGCCCAAAAACACAAAAGGCCGGATGGTAGCTTTGGTAAAGTGTACGAACTGAACTTTCTTTACGTGCTTTGGGATTTGGGAGCAAAATTTGAAGCTTCAATTCATAATACAGAAAATATTTAGGCTCTAAGATTCACTAAGAAGTTAAAGCAATATTGAGTTACAGTTAATCATCAAGAAGCAAACATATTCATCATACAAACCATAAGTGATAAGTCTTATGACCATTTCAAATATTGGTTTGAAACGTAAAGCCATTTTGCTTAATGAACTCTAGTCTTGAAACCACCTTGTCATGTGGAGGCAGAGTCTGTTTCACCAAAGGCAGCTCAAGTAGGGTATTCACCCATGAATATATAAATGGATTCCTTTCAGGATCCAAAACCTTCATTCCAAGTACTTCTTCTGCTGCCTTATATGTACCAAGTGAACCTACAATTATTATATCTAGAAGTCCCAAATTCTCACTGCAGTTATTAGACCTTTCCCCTGGGAAAAAATCTTTCATTCCTTCTTCCATCACTTGTAGTTTCTCAAAGAATTCATCAAATGCTCTGTCCTCATCAACTTCTTGGGCTGAAATGAATGCTTTCTTCATGGTGTCTGATATCTGCAAATCATTTATCCTAAACAATCAAGTTGAAGTATGCATATATTTGCACTACAATGAGCATGTTTGGTACAACAAGTCATTTTGCATGAAAATAATTTTCCATGTAAGTATTTGATACGACTGAAGTCATTTTTCATGAAAAATATTCATCAAATATTTTTTTGGTATTTGGTTGGTGAGTGGCATATATTTTCTGAGAAAATATTTATTGAATAATAATAATAGCAAATCAGATAGTGTTATCATGCAATTTTGAGTACTATAGATAGTAATAATGTTTAAATACTAGTTGAACAAATAATGTGAAATTAAAAGTTAACATAATTGTAATGAAAATGATTTCCCACCATAAGTGACGGAAGTTATTTTTCCTACTTTCATGAAAAATGTTCTGATAACCAAATAACTTTCTCATATGGAAATATATTCCTAAAAAATGACTTTCGTCGTACCAAACATACTTAGAAACACCTATGAAAGAAGCATAAAAGTATAACCTGACGGCAGTAAATAGCCCAAAAACGAACTCTTGCTCTTTCATAAGGATCATCTGGTAAGAATCGCGGTTGGTTTTTCCAGGTTTCGTCGATATACTCAAGAATTACAAGGGACTCAGATACAGGTCTTCCACGGTGAAGTAATACTGGAACCTTCTTATAAACGGGATTATATTTGAGAAGCAGAGAACTTTTGTTGCTCAAATCTTCTTCAACATAATCAAAAGCTATGCCTTTGATTTTGAGAGCCAACTCCACTGTTTTCGCGTAACTGCTAATCCACATTCCATGTAGAGTAACTTTATTTTCATCTTCCATTAGTTTTTTCTTATTTCTCTTTTTTTTTAATGCTAATATCATGGATGTCGTAGAGTTTCCACTCTCTAAATAGAATTTCCACTAACTATAAGCTGCGTAATCTTTAGGTTTGACTAGAAGAAACGAGAGGTTAGTTTTGTGCTACACTGTAGTAGAATTACTTGGTGTGCTTTCTTTTACTATATAAGTTTAGATGGTGAACGCAATGGATGACGTATGAAGATAATTAGCTCGTTAGACTGCTGCTCCAAAATTGATGTCTCTGAACTAAAGACAGCAAAAAAAATTGGTACACATATTATGTCTTCTGAGTAGACACTTTGAGAAACAGATCCTTCAAATCCAAAGATATAAAGATGGTCACGTCCCAAAAGCCAAAAAAGAGAGAGAGGATACATGTGATTTGGGAGAAGTAAAAAATTCAACTGTCAAGAATGGGATTCGAACCCATGCCCTTTCGGACCAGTACCTGAAACTGGCGCCTTAGACCAACTCGGCCATCTTGACTCCCTGCAAACTACTATTATTCTTTTTGATAATTCTCCTATTTTTCCTTTTTCAACGATCCTATTTTTCCTTTTGCACAACACTCCTCTAATCGGGATTTGAAAATGAACTGTGCTGCTATCTCCTTTAGGAGCCAAAAATTCTCATATTTGGACGCAAAGTTATCTCATTCATCGACTTTGGTTAGATTACATCAAAGTGCCCAATATGCGCAGTTTTTCTTTAATAGACTGACTTTTCCTCCTTAATGAAGGTACCAAAACTACAGATTTTACCTTCTAAAAAAAGAAAGTTGATCACACACTTTTAAAAATAAAAGAAACAGAGTTTGAATTTCAACAGCTATGCTGCTAATTCCTAGCTTGACATCTTGGAATAATAGCTCATCCAAATAATGTTTCCTCGAGTTTGATGTTTTCAGTTATAAATATATTTTTATCTTGTGAAATTGAGTCCATTTGATTGATAGATAGATACTGATACTTCACAAACTAAAATAGGAAAAAAGAAATCCTGCTACTTTTTCTAAAGGCAAAATACAAAGTATACTCATTCACCCTGCACCCAAATCCATGTGTTATGAACTCAACAAAACGATGTCTCGATTAGAAATACAACAGAAATAGCGGGGGAGAGAGACCAGAAAGAGGAAGTTTCTACAATATTCAGCCTACCCTATCTGTGTTAATGCCTAGTCCCTTTTAACTGATTCCTTATTGCACTTCTTGGGCATGGATCCCAAATTAATCTTTTTGAAGGTCTTCTGGCCCTGTGGCTTCTTCTCGACCCAATTCTAGGCTCAATAGCTTGATTCATAACAATACTCCCGTCAAGGTTCGAGAGAGGATACTCTGATGAAAGAAAAGTGGAAGTTGTGTTGATTTTCACCATAGGAAAGGATTCCCAAATAAAATCCTTCCTGGACACAGTAGAATCAATCCCCGCTCTATCAAATGTTGTATTCACATGACAGTGTGCTAGATAGATAAAAGTCGAAGACAATTGGATGCCAATAAAGCCATCAAAAGCACAACTAGGACCAAAAGAAAGTTTGGAAGCACTGGAAATATAATACAGCCAACAATCCACACCTTTGCTATGAATCAACTTGTCATCATTTGAAAGTTGCTCAACCAGAGCTATAGCAAGTCCAGGCTCTCTAACAGTCTCGATTAACATTGGGTTCTCGTTTGAACTAATCTCAAGCTTTGATTAGCCTCATATCCAGTGTGCTTTATCTAAGTGGGAGATTGTTAGAATATACTATAAGCCATGCGTATTGTTAAAGTATTTTTTATGAACAATTATTTATTTACTTGTTTAAATTCAATAAAGTTTCATTTTAAATA